CCAGGAAGAAAATACATTTCAAAAAAAACCTTTAATTAATAGTAACCACAACCTTCCTAGAAGTTAGAACTGTTAAAGCGGTAGGAAGTTGAGGAGGGGTGGGTGTGATGTCATCCAGGGGTGTCATACCTGCATTAATCTTGCTAAGCAGCAGTGAAGGGGGGGAAGTGTTACTTAAAAAGAGGGTGGGAGGGAAGGGACACATAAGTCTTTGTTTAAATGTCCCGGTTCAGAGAGGCCTGCTCAAACCACTCTTTAAAATTGTAGACAACACCATCCATCTCCCAATCCCACCTAACTTTACCTTTCCCATGAAGTGCTTACTACCTTAGGATATTCTACACAACATATTTATTTTATTCGTTTATCTCTCATCCCCCTCTAACTAAAATGTGAGCTCCCAAAGGAAAGCGCTTGGCTTTGTTATATTCTGAACACTTCTTGTCATGTAGTAGGCATGAGGGTTTGTTGATTATGTGAACATTTATTTGATTTACTTAGTAAACACCTATACTAGGCCCCCTACCCCCCTTGACACTTTCCATAAAGCATTTGTTTCATTTAAGTATACATCAGCCTTCGAGGTGGATATGGATTTTGTTTACTGTTAAGAAACTGAGGCTGACAGTCTAGGGGTGACCAGCATCCACATGCCATTTACCCAGCCAGCCTCCATTCCTCTCCTTTGGGTATAGTGGTTTAGTTTCTAGTGGCCAACAAATGCACAAATCAAATGCCTTTTCATAATTTGGTGACCTAAGATGTCACCAAAGTTTTCTGCCATTTTGTTCATCATCTTTGTTTTTAAAAAAAAAATTTTTTATTTATTTTTGAGAGACAGAGACAGAACGTGAGTTGGGGAGGGGCAGAGAGAAAGGGAGACACAGAATCCAAAGCAGGCTCCAGGCTCTGAGCTGGCAGCACAAAGCCCGATGTGGGGCTCGAACCCACAAACCTTGAGATCATGCCCTGAGCCCAAGTCAGACGCTTAATTGACTGAGCCACCCAGGTGCCGCTCATCATCTCTGTTTTGAATAAAAATTTGTTCAATAAGAAAATGAGGTTCTTTTATCAGGTGTGTATACTAGGTTTTGTCTGTTTAATGGTTTTTTATTTTCTGGACTTGGATTTAATTGGGACGTGTAAGTGAAAGTCCCTACCTGGTTGGCTTCCAGAGTGGCCTGTGGTGTATGGGTCTAGCTCATGTGTTTATTGCTGTAGTTATCTGTATACACTATTTGATATCTTCATCTGTTCCTGTAATGCTTTCTTCAGGTATGCTGAAGATAAAATGGGATTTGCAGGAGCCCAGACAGCTTGCTCTTGGCTCCATGATGACTATAAAAGTAGGCAGTAAGAATCAGGTGCCAGGTAGCAGCCGAAAGCGTTGCCAGGTGTCAGTATTAAACTGAACAGCCTGGTATTGTAGCTTTTTGTCCAGTGAAGTGAAAATACAAAGCCAAACCATGGTTGTCTTTTTTTGTCATAACATTTTTCCTGATTGGAAGGAGGTTTTAGAACTATATTAACATTATTGCTATGTAGACAGAGCAGTGTCCTTTATTATGAAGCTTGGAAGGCTGGGACCCTTGGCCAGGGGACGCCATTCACAAGTTTCAGGTTGCTTTTGAATTAAAATTTGTGACATTATGCCAGTATTGGGCATTAATTCTTGCTTGGCACTTCTGTTGTAATGAGCCACAGGCAGGCCTGCAGGGGAAACCTAATGTGCATGGAATGTCAACAAATTGGATTTTTGGTTTTATCACCAGTCCACATGGCTATTTATTCTGTAATTTAAAAGCAAAAATTATTGTAAAAGTTGTATAAACATTGATTTAACTTATCTGTTGACATTTGCAGGTATATTTTTTATTTCCTAAACTTTTTGTTGAACTGTAATACATGTGTTGAAAGGTGTGCTTTGGTGTAAATAGCTCATAAAACCATCACGAAGTGAACACATGAGTATAACTAGCACCCAGATCAAGATGCAGACCATGCCCAGCCCCCCTTGAAGGCCCTTTCACGCCCCCTTCCCTCTGTGCTCCCTCCAAGATAACTTCCTTAACTTCTAACAGCACTGATTAGTTTAGCCCATTTTGTCTTCTTTCACCCAGTGTGTTTGTAAGATATGCCCATGGCGGAGTAATTGTAATTAGTTCATTCTTTTTACTGTGTAGTATTGCACTGTGTGAATGTATCAAGATTTATCTATTCTCCTGAGGGGTGTTTGGATTGTTTTCCAACTACTCCAGGGTATTATGAATAATGCTGCTATGAACATTCTAATACATGTCTAATGGCCATAGGCCCTCATTTCTCTTGGATATATACATGGGAGTAGAATTGCTGAGTTATAAAGTATTTGAATATTTAGCATTGGTAGAAACCACCAAGCAGTTTTCCGAAGTGGTTGTACCAGAGTTCCAGTAGCTCATCCTTGGCAACAGTTGATATTTTCTTTGCCTTTAATTTTGGCCACCCTGATGGGTGTATGCAAATAAAATGTTAAAATTCAAAACAAAACCATTTGCTCCAAGTTTGCGGGTTGGATGTCTGCAGCTGAAGCAGAAGCCTGACTCCCTAGGAGATTTTTAATGTCAGAAAGTAGAACTGAGGACCTAGGGAATGTGGATCTGAGAGAGGGCCATACAACTGTGGTATTGAGTTGAGTAAAACATAAATTTATTAGGCTATAAAACTATCATAGTTGCGCACATCAAAAAGTTTTATTTCATAAGGGGTTTTGAGGGCATAGGTGAGCCATGTTTTAACAAACTTTCCGAATGGTGGAAGAGGGGGTGCAGAGTTATGATTAATTGAATTTTCATGCTAATTTGAGGGTTTTTCTTTTAATTTTTAATGTTTTCTATTTATTTTTGAGAGAGAAACAGAGCATGAGCGGGGGGGGGGGGGGGTTGCAGAGAGGGAGAGGGAGACACAGAATCCAAAGCAGGCTCCAGGCTGTCATCACAGTGCCTGACGCAGGGCCCGAACCTAGGAACCATGAGATCATGACCTGAGCCAAAGTCAGATGCTTAGCTGACTGAGCCATCCAGGTGCCCTGTTATTATGAGTGTTAATGAGAGTAACTTTTGTTTTTGTGTAACTTTTCTTGAAAATGTACCTACTTTACTATTATAGGTGCAATAGACTAGTTTTTACTTTTTATTTTTTTATTTTAGAGAGCATGCAAGTAGGGGAGAGGGGCAGAGGGAGGGAAAGAGAATCTTAAGCAAGCTCCATGCTCAGCTCAGAGCCCCATGTGGGTCTCCATCCCACGACCCTGGGATCGTGACCTGAGTTGAAATTAAGAGTCAAATGCTCACCTGACTGAGCCACCCAGGCGTCCCTAGACTAGTTTTTAAAAAAGAATTTCAGTGAGTTACAGTAGGAGGTTTGAAGACTAGGACTTTCTAAAGGAAATGACACTTTTAATTTGAGTCTTTTTCCCCCACCTGGTTTGTTCATGCGTGAGAACAAGTCCCCCAAATCATACTTCTCAGCATTTCCCACATTCATATTTTATTTATTTATGTGTATGTGTTGGCTTTAATTTCAGAGGCTTCTTAAAGCTGTATTTTTCAGATACTAGAAAATTTCCAAGATTTCTGTGAGGATTCACACTGGAAGTAAAAGTCACCTGGGATCCCACAACGCAGAGATAACATTGTCGACTCTCACTGTCACTCTTTTCAATATTTTCCAGTCCATCTTGGTGTCAGTATTCTATGCCTCACCAGTTTGATGACTCCACAGTACTCCATTCTTCAACAATTTATCGATCCAGTCCCCTTTTACTGGACATAAGATTGTTGCCAGCACTTTGCTGTTAAAGCACTGTAGCAAGTATCATTGTAGGTAAAGCTTTGCACAAATCTGTGATGTTTTCCTTAAGCTGAATGCCCAGAAGGGAGTTGTGGGTCAAAGGTTAGGTACATTTTAAAGCATATTTGCTACACATTGCAAAATGCCCTCCAGAAGCACATGCCCCAAGTTGTGCTTAATCTGATTGTTTGAGAATGCACCTTCCTTAACCCTAACCAATTAAGTAGGTCTTTTGAAGTCACTTCCTTTTTTATAACCTATACAGGGTTTTTGCTTTTTGCTTTTAGTAAGACCAGTATAGCTATAATGTATAGTAGCTTATGGACATTGGCCAGGACGAGACCTGAGATTTCATGTCTTCCACTATTGGGTATAATTTCCCCAATTAACTTTGTACTTATAGATGTGTACAGAATAATTACATCTCTGTGGCTCTTCAAGCCTGTGTACTTTTGTTCTTATTTTCCTCAGCCTTGATTTTATATTTCTATTTATGTTTTCCAAAACTTGAGTCTGTTTTTCAGGTTTATTATTTTAGGGACTGGGTTCTGGTTTTAGGAGCTGCCTCAAATCTTTGTGGATAAAGGTGAGACTTGTGTAAATGAGATAAAAAGTTGCTGGTTCCTCTTTCAAAAGTAAATTAAAAATATTACCAGAACGTGTTCCCAATCCAGGGAGCAAAACAAATGAGCACCCCTCAGAGATCTGATTGCTCACAGCCTTGTAAAGCTACATATGCTCTAAGTAGAACAGCCTGTGGGTGAAGATACCCTCAGATTTGTTGCTTACACTTTTTATTTATATGGGGATTAGAGATTAAAAAGTCCTTAAGCCATAGCAATTTCTTCACCAAAAATACCCAAGTATAGTTGAGGTTAAACTCTAGGGCAGGGGGAGGGAGATTTTTACTTATCACTTACACTCTACCTTCTAGAGTGTTTATATTTTCTTTACATGAGTAGATTACTTTTATAATTTTAAGCTTAAAACAGAAATTGACATACCATTTTCATGGGTGAAAAGTTTTTGAAAACTAAGCTAAAATGTGCCATTTTCTACCTCTGTTTTGGAAATTAGCCTTTCATAGGTAAACCTAGTTTAAAGTCTCATCGTTTTTCTTTTAATTACTACTTATGGGAGTATATTTTTAATGTTTACTAACCTGAGACATGAGGGCAACAGAAAAAGAATTCAGCAAAACTGAGAACCCCAAATTCCAGTTCTTACAACTATCTGTAAGCATCTTATGTCTGATGTTGCAAGCAGCTGATCCCTTTCAAGGTGCAGCTGTAGCCTTGAAAGGTATGAAAGCTGTAATAAGGACGAGAAAAGGTGCAAAAGTGGTAATAACCTGTCAAAAGTAAGTAGGGATAAAAGTTCAGATGATTAGAAACACATTGTTAGAATAACAAACATGAAAAAGGTTGGAGTTGGTGGTCAGATCTCAGATGACAAGTCTGACTACTAGTCACCGAAAGTGTGTCTCTTTGGACTTGAAGATGGAACAGCTCCATCCTGAGTTAGGAGGGAAGCCCCTGCCTGTGTGCAGGAGGCAAGAGGTGTGCAGGACACAACCCTGCTCACCTTCATATTCTTACCAGGTACACATGTCTGAGACCTAAGCTAGTAGAACAGTCTGTTTCTGACTACAGAGAAAAGAAAATCAGGAAAATCACAATGATAATTCCTTTTATTTAAGCACTGTGCTGTATGTATGTATATATCTTGCATGTTTTACTGACTAAGCCAGCCAGGCACTCCTGTATATCTATCTATCTGTATCTGTCTATGTTTTCTTTAATATTAATGGATTTAATTGACCAAATGGTATATTTTATCATGGGCTTCATCTTATATTTGAAGAAGCTTAAGGTACAGGACACCAACTGTGTCTGACAGTAGAATATATTTCTAAATGTGTAAAGACACTTAAAAAATTTTTTTTAATGTTTATTTCTGAGAGAGACAGAGACAGAGACAGACCATGAGCCAGGGAGAGTGCAGAGAGAGGGAGACACAGAATCCCAAGCAGGCTCCAGGCTCTGAGCTGTCAGCACAGAGTCCGATGGGGGCTCAAACCCACAAATCTCAAGTATCATGACCTGAGCCGAAGTCAGATGCTTAAGGGACTGAGCCTCCCAGGCTCCCCTAAACACACTTTAAACATGCAAGACATTGTTCTATTCGGACATGCAGTCCAATTGTTTCACTCTTTGAGAAGACAGCTTGATATTCAGCTAACGCACCCATTCGCCTTATCCCAGATTTTTATATGTACTTAATGTCATGTTACTCCATTTGACCTCATGCTTCAGTTTTCTCATCTGTAAATAAGGATGATAATAGTACCTACCTCATGTGGTTATTGTGCAGACTGAACATTGTAATACAGAAAGCTTTTAGAACAGTGTTGTTAGTAGCAGTAGCATATATTTACTGGAGTAGTATCACTATAAGAGCATTGATTTTCATCTATTTTGTTTACTACTTATCTCCAGTATCTAGTAGAGTGACTGACACATAGGCAGAGCTGAGTAAATATTTGATAAAAGAATAGTGTTGAAATTATTGGTACAAATTTTTCTGTCAGTGAGCTATATACTTCTTGAGGGTTTTGTTTTGTTTAATTTTTTAATCTCCTATTGTGCTGGTGCATGGTAAGAACTCAAAACAATTTTTGAATAAATACTGAAGACCTATGCTTATCATGCAGTTGTAGCTAAAATCCTCACTTTGGGGGCCAGTGGGACTGAGATAGCCCTGGTATTAATAGCTACAATGTTTTGAGCATCTGTTATGTATGTGCCAAGCTTATTACCTACATTCACTCTTCACCTGTTTTCTTAGGCACCACAGTTGTGCCAAGCACTGTGGTTACCACTAGGACCCACAATGAAGATAAAAAGTCTGTGCTTTTCTAGAGTTTATAGCTTATGACAGGTGAACAGCGCCAAGGTTTTAGTCTCTTCAGCATTTCATCTCTACCTTGGTTTGCCCAGTATCATCAATTCTGTTTCCTTGTTCCTTCCCCACCCTCTCTCCCAGCGAGGTCCTGCCTCTACCAGTTCAATTCTTTTGACTTTGTTTTGTTTTGGTATTGGAAGAAAGGAAAAAAATAAACGCATGTGTGGATTAAGTTCAAGAGGAGGGTTTTTTTTAATTTTTTTTTTAACGTTTATTTATTTTTGAGAGAGAGAGAGTACAAACGGAAGAGGGGCAGAGAGAGAAGGAGACACAGAATCCGAAGCAGGCTCCAGGCTCTGATCTGTCAGCACAGAGCCTGATGTGGGGCTCGAACTCACGAACCGTGAAACCATGACCTGAGCCAAAGTCGGATGCTTAACCGACTGAGCCACCCAGGTGCCCCATCAAGAGGAGTTTTTAAGGCAAGTTTTAAGAAGTCTTGGAAAGTTGGGTTTAAGAGAGAAGTAGATGAGAAACAAAATGAAAAAATTAGAAGTTTTGATTCCCCTCACTGTTATCTGAGAACTACATGTAATGAATTTGAACTATTTGTTTTTTAATTTTTTTTTAACATTTTATTTTTGAGAGAGAGAGAGACCACAAGCAGGGGAGGGGCAGAGAGAGAGTGGGAGAGAGAGAGGGAGACACAGAATCCAAAACAGGCTGCAGGCTCTAAGCTGATGCGGGGATCGAACCCATGAACCATGAGATCATGACCTGAGACTAAGTCAGACGCTCAACAGACTGAGCCACCCAGTCGCCCCTGAACTATTTGTTTTTTAAATATTTATTTTGAGAGA